CAGGTTTACTTCCCCTCTCTCTCTCTCTCACACACACACACTCTCTCTCTCTCTCTCTCTCACACACACACACACACACACACACACACTCATACTCAGACACACACACTCTCACTCACTCACACACACACTCACTCACACACAATCACTCACTCACACAAACACTCTCACTTATTCTATTGCCCTACACCAACCCTACCCCTAAACCTACCCCTCACAGGAAACTTTCTGCATTTTTAGATTTTTAAAAAACTTCATTCACAAACACCTCCTGCTCCTGCAGCCACTCCAACTCATCTTCATCATCCTCATCCTCCATGTCTGACAGTCACTAGAATGAGATGTACATGTTACTGATGAAACATCTGTTTAACGTTCAGCACATCATTCATTCATCTGCAGGTTAATTTACAGATGTCAACAAACACATTTAGAACAATCCCACAATGACAAAGTCCACATCAAACGTGTATTTACAATACAGCTCCTCTACAGAGCTTCATATGGTCAGTGTGTGTTATACCACTGCACGTGTCATCCTCAGCACTGATTAAATAACTCTTTTAACTGATAATTAGTCAGTAGTGTTGATCAAATCGAGTGAATTATCTTATCTAATCAGTCACACGCGATCGTGTTGTTTTGATGGAGCAGCTGATTCGCGCTCACCGCAGCAGAATAATGACAGAAAACTACTCACACGAATGAAAACTAGTACTGCTGTCACTTCTGTGGGTTACACGAATGAGTCATGGAAAGTAGCTTGTCATGAGCAGTGCTGCTCTCATGAATTAAAGGAGACATATTATGCCCCTTTTTACAATATGTAATATAAGTCTCTGGTGTCCCCAGAATGTGTCGGTGAAGTTTCAGCTCAAAATACTCCACAGATCATTTATTATATCATTTTGAAAATCTTTATCATTACTAAGCGTAATAATGACTTTCCACTCTTCCTGTTTGTCATCATCAAACCTACTGCTTCCACTAGGTTTAGCTCTGATCTTTTTGATCGTTTGTCTTGGTGTACTCTCTCCTCCACTACTCGCTTCAGACCATGCTTTTTTCCTTGTCTTTTTAGTTCGGTTAACCTCCATATCTGAAGGCCACCCATCATCATCACCATCTGAATCATAACCCATTGCTACACTCACGATACAGTTTGATTACAATCCACCGTCTCTTCCAACGCAAAGTTCAGTCCAATCAAGCGTCTGCGCCCGCTCCGCCAGAGCTTATTTACCACGCACATAACGATTTATGATAACCAGTTAGTCTCCGTAACCAGATACCAATCCAGTGTTCACACACAGTACTCGTGTGTCGTGTTGTCGATGTTTAATGGAGAAATCCATCTGTTTTGAGCAAAGACACCCTTTATGATCGCGGGAGACTAGCTAACGTTAACCCAGACTGCGAGCTGTTTGCTCTGCTTCTCAGACTCGTGCAGAATGAAGCTGCAGTGTGATGTGGAGGTGGTGAGCCGGTTGTTACCGTCGATCGGTGTGAGGAGTAAAGGCCGGTCCAGCCGCGCGGTTCTGTCCATCGGGAGGCTCTCGGACCGCGGCGTGTGTCTGCTCATCTGCACCGCCAGAGACCGCAGCGGAGCCACGTACAAGGCAGGACCGAGTGCTCTTTGTGCCTTTCGTGACTGCTGTGGACCAGCTCCTGAGTCTGTGTGTGTTTCTCTGCAGCTGAAGGAGAACATCGAGAAGTTCTTCACCTGGTTCGTGGAAGAGGGCAAAGCCACGGTTCGGCTGAAGGAGCCTGCGATTGACATCTGTCTGAGTAAAGTAAAGATGTGCTTTCAGTTCTCTCGGGGAAAGTTGTGCTGTCACGTTTGAAAGACATGGCAGAGTTTTTAAATATATGCGTCTGCATCATACAGCCAATCCATAGTGCAGTTATTATTGTGTTTTTTAAATACTAAACCAACACTTGTATATATTAGGCGTCATGGTAGTTGATAAATGACAGTTGATAACTCTCAATTACTGTGTAAACTAAGGACCGATTGGGATTTTGTGTGAATCTGTATTTCTTCTCCTGTCTTCGAGTTATTTAATAGAAGGGGAATCCCATTGAGAGTTTGACATTTATTTAACTGCTACAGCCAGCATCTCTGCCAGCCTTTTGCTGCAAATATAATGTAATAATAATAAACTGGATTGATATCTGCTTTTTTGTCACTGCAGACTCGAGATCGCTGTGCTGATTCCTGCTTTACTTGAGCTGTTTATTCAGGTTTGACTTATGGATAGGTGATCATATTAAAGGGGTCATGTGATTTCAAGATTCAAGTTTTTCCTTAGTCTTTGGAGTGTTACAAGCTGTTCGTGCATATATAGAATCTGTTTCTAGACTAAAGTCTCAAACTCAAAGAGATATTCTTTGTAAAAGTTGAGTCACGCCCCACATGTCTACATCACGATGTGGGAATATTTGCATAACGCCGCACAAATGTTTACGCAAAGAAAGAAGACGGAACTTTTATTCTCGCTGTAGTATTGTTGCCATTAAAACGCTTTCAGATCTGGTGAGGGGCGTAACATTTCCGTCACACGCTTGAGGTATTCGGCCAATCACAACGCACGGGATAGCTGGCCAGTCAGAGCACACCGCGCTTTTCAGAATGCTTTGTAAAAATCGACGTGTTTCAGAAAGGCGGGGCATAGAGGAGCAACAATAATGTACAGTATGGAAAATTTAGTTTTTGAACCTTACACCGCGTAAACACATTGCATTCCACCAAATACACCAAATAATATTTTTAGCATCGTCATATGACACCTTTAAGTTTAAAAAGTATCCGCTGGTTGACTGTGTAGCCTGACCTGATTCTCAGATGTCGGGGGAATATCTGCTGGCGTCGCTCTAGTTCCTGCACAGACCTGGTTTTACATAAGTAGAAGATACGAACAGTTTCTAAAATGGTTTGTGCTTGATTTTTGTATTTTGTGTGTGCGTGTCTCTGTGTGTGTGCGCGTGTTTCTCTCTGTGTGTGCGTGTGTGTCTCTGTGTGTGTGTCTCTGTTTGTGTGTGTCTCTGTGTGTGTGTGTGTTTGGGTCTCTCTGTGTGTGTGTGTGTGCGCGTGTGTGTGTGTGCGTCTCTGTGTGTGCGTCTCTGTGTGTGCGTCTCTCTCTGTGTGTGTGTGCGTGTGCGTCTC